CTAAACCCTAAACCCTAGGCCCTTTCTGCTCAAGCCTAGTCATTCAGAGAGGTCGTGGGTTTCTCACAGGTTCTTGGGCTCGGGTGCGGCGACTTTGGGGGTTCAGGGCTTCATGTCGGTGTCTCAGCTTATGACAGGAAGGATGTTTAGGGTTTAGGGTTTAGGTTATGGCAGTAAGTGTGTTTAGGGTTTGGGGTTTAGGTTATGACAGTAAGGATGTTTCGGGTTTAGGCTTTAAACAGTAAGCGTGTTTAGGGTTTAGGGCTTAGGGTGTAGGGTTTAGGTTATGACAGTAAGTGCATGTAGGGTTTAGGGTTTAGGGTTTAGGGTTTAGGGTTTAGGGTTTCGGTTGTGACAGTAAGTGGGCTTGTCTGATTTCATCGACCACTTATCGCATATTGAAAGTCCCGGAGCGGCCGGGCTTGGGGAGTGTAGGGTTCTTGCTGCTTCTAGAGTGTATGGTTTAGGGTGGCTAGAAAGATCCATCCTGTGCAAAATCTTGGTGCATCTTGTTATGACATGGTACGGGGCCTTCAGCACAAGGATCCCCACAACAAACCCCAAAATCAACACAGACTCACCCATTCTCAAAATCGGCTCCCAACCCAGCTTACACCTTAAACCCTTAAGGGAGTAGAGCCCTGCGAGAAGACTTTAGGCTCGACGACCTCAGTTCGAAGCCCTCAGCTCTGGCTTAACGTAGGCGCCTTGACAGCCAATTGCAGCTGGTAGAATAGGCTGTTGGTTCACATTGTGGTATAGCTCTAAGTAGGGACTAGACTCACCAAAAGAGGAGAATTTGCACTGATGTTCAGACCTATTTTGTTTTTGTGCGTTTTGCACTTCCTCTTCTTGGCCTCCGGCTTGCTGCACTTCATCGGTTTGGGCTTTCTACATCCGGGCCCTTTGTATATCTGGTTTCCGGTGAGTTAGGCCTTAGAGGACTTTTGGCTTCGACGTGTTGGACTTTGCTGTTTGCAGCTTGCTGCGTACAAACTGAACTGTCCGGAGCAGCTAGGTGCCCGTGGACTCTGCTTCTTCGCTTCCAGTGGTAGCGGCTCGTGGCGACTTAAAAGGCCTGGCGAAGCCGAGTCGAAGCTGCGATTCGACCAGGTCATGTACACAGGGGCCAGATTTGGGGATTTCCGAAAATAGGGGACCCTAATATAGTACCCCAACTAGTAGGATCCTTATTATAAGGACCCCCAAGAGAAGGTACCCCCTTATTTCCGGAAACCCCCATTTATGGTGCAGACAGCAGTCTAGAACGGCTGCACAGTCTTAAAATGTCCGCAGGTGAGGAAGCTAAACTCGAAACCCGTTTACGTCGAAGGTTTCGACGCGTTCGCTTCGGAAAAGCATTCCCAGGATGCCTGCAGTGCCCGCAGACAAGCCCTGCAATGCCTCGGAGTTGTTCCGGTCCCATCCATATGCCAGGGTGTATGCTTGCTGTGTGGCCTCTTTGTTTCCGAGCGCGTCGAAGGCCCTAGCAGAAAGGATTGCAACATCAGCAGCTTCCTCCAAAAGCTCCGAGGCAGCCAGCCGGTCTGCAAAGGCTAGGTAGGACATGGGGTCTGGCTGGAACCGAAAGCCTAAAGCCGCTTTGAACAAGGACTGCGCTCGAAGGGCGGATGCTTCTCGGCACCGCAAGCAGCGGATGGCGGATTCCAGAAGTGCTGGAGGGAGATCACGATATTTGACATGCAGCTCGCCGTGGAAAGCCGCTAGAACCAGTGCAGCGCCCTCCAACCACACACCAGGGGCTTCAGAACTCAGTGAAAGCACAAATTGCCACAGCTTTTCGAGCGATTGTGGCAAACAGTGCGCCAGTCTGGAGGCAAGCTCCCGTTCCAGAATATCTGCATGTATCAAAGACCCTCGTCGCCGCGCGGCAAGATGCATCCACTCCAATTTCTGATCACAGCAGTAGGACAATAACGGCTCAGCATCCCAAGCGTTGAAGTTGTCAAGCAACTCCCGCATCGGAGTCTGGCGAAGCATGGCCTTCAGCTCCTGCTGGGCATTGCCTTGAAGCGACGTAGGGAGATTGGCCCTCAACCGAAACACTTTCAGCAGCTTGCCCCGCACCGCTGTCGGCAGTTTGCAATCAGGCACACCAGGCTCAGGGCGGATGAGACTGTCAGCACGCACGAGTAATGCCTGTGCATCTACAGCTGGAAGAAAAGGAGCAATGGAGAAAATCTCCTCAACGACTCGCTCCATGAAAACGCGGATTGAAGCCTGTTGGAGAACATTCGGGATGACCTGCGGCCAAGGGCTGCGAGCTTGTTCACTACCACGTTTGACGGTGTTTGCTGTCTACTCTGCCAGAGTGTTCTGCTCCATGATATGCACACTTGTGCTTTTGCCACTGTATGCACGCATACTCGACAGACGTGCATGTGGGATCAGAACGACCAGTTGCCTTCCTCCCCATTGGCAGATTCGTTTTTGGGCTGCGCTCCCGGTGTCGCAAGGCAGCTTCGATGGCCTCTCGCTCGTAGGTGAAGCCGTCCTGTGGAACTGGGAAACGCTTTGACGATTCGAGTCTCGGGATTGCGTTTTGGGTTTGGGTTCCTGTCGAACTTTTAAGTTTAAGATATCATAACGGTTTGTTTGGACAGAATATGGTGTCCTTGGCAGGGCAACTCAACTTTATTTCCTTCACAAAAGCCAGGTCTGTGTTCCGGAGTTCGGGTGTCTCGTTGTGTCTGCATGTTGCCCCCTCGCCTACGACGCCTTTGCCCTCAGCCTGCCGTCCTTGATTGAGAACCCACCCTCCGGGTAGAAACACAGCTGTACAGGAAACGCATAAGCCACCAGCAAAGGGAAGTGGTCTTGGAGTATCCCACCGCTATGGCATAGAATGGAATACAGACAAGACCCTAAACGCCAGCCGAAAGTTCAGAAGTCGAAACTGCTCGGGATGAAGTCATACAGCGGCCCAGCATAGACCCTCAACGACAGGAACCTCATGCACAACGCGTTTCTTAAGGAAAGCTTCTCTAATGTCACCATGTTCACGGTGCCGGGCTTTTCTTGATGCAGACCCCGGAAGTGCTGTTTTGGGGTTTATACCAGATTGAGGTCATCTTTGACCCTTCTCATAACCTTGGTAAGTCTCCAGGTAACTATCTGTGGCGTCCAACCGTCGACCTACGGAGAGGAATCCAGTCACCTTGAAGTAGGATTTCATGGTTTTAGGGCTTAGGGCTTTAGGGTTCTAGTATTTGGTTCAGGGCAACTTTCAGGGTTTTAGGTGTTGAAGGTTGATTGATTTGTGCGAGATTTCAATTTGGGGCTACCCTGATTATGAGTCTAAAGGGGGGGCAGCTTATCTGGGATCTACGGTCACGCAGTGGTCATATCAGGTTTATACTACTGAAGCTGCTGCTGAAAGCCCGCGCTGGTGTCCTCTGCCACGACTGGCTGCCTCATCAAATCCTGGTTGATAGGACACACGAAGTCGTCGGGATCTGTCAATAGGCGCCGAACCTGACGAAACACCGTCTTGGGAATCCTCCTCAGATCCCTTGATCAGGAATCCCATGGCAAAAAAAGCTTTTAACTTCATATAGGGGCCTAAATAATTACCTAGCCTATTTTGGGGGGGTTCCTTATTATAACTATACTACAAAGGGCCCCAAAACCCCCTGCATTATACTTCACCTTAGGGAAGAGCCAGAACCTCCCCGGTTCCGGGTGTGTGCGGATCTTTCGGTTTACACTCTCACAACTCGGACAAGCCAGGCGAGGATCCATGTTGACAGTCGGATCTTTCGGTTTAGGGTTTAGGGTTTAGGGGGGGGCATTTCATGGATCCTGGAAAACAGCGGTGCTCTCCGAAATTTGAGCTTCGATGTAATTGTGGTTTAGGGTGTTGAGGCTTAGGGACTAGGGAAGCTGCAAGACCAAGCTGTAAGACTCCGGACTCTTAGCATCCCGGCCCCACATCTACGCAAACGGCCTCCACCAAAACAAGCAACCTCTGAAACAAATGCTACGCGGAAGGAGGACACTGTTTCTACCGAGCAGCGAGACATCTTAGAGCGCCCGCATCATCCTCATCTATGCTTCCTTCCACGACGTATACCCTCTTTTTTCAGCACGGACCCTAAACCCTAAACCCTACGACAGCAGAGGAACAAAATGTCGTTCACGATTCAAGGCTTCGGCTTTGGGAGCCATGAGGCTTGTGAAGGTTGCCTAGGGTAGGGTTTAAGTTTATGGTTTGGGGGTTTAAGGGTTTAGGGCTACAGGTTACTTGTTGCGGGTTTAGTGGTCTGGGGTTTAAAGGACTTTCTAAAACTGAGAGGTTCAGAAACTACGAGACCCGTGTTCTTGCGCCGCCCAAACAGTACGATCCGTTTAGGGTTTAGGGTTTAGGGTTTACAAGGACCCTCAAAATAAGATACCCTGAGGTACCAAGAAACCCCAGCTTAACCTTCGTAGATCACGAAAAAAGACATGCCCCTGAAAAAGCAATCTGAATTACCCCATATTATGGAACCCTTTTATACCCTTAAAGAGAACCTTATTATAAAACCCGAAAGTGCCCTTAAAAGGGGATTATCGGGTTCTATACCCCGCCTTTGTACCCCCTCCCATAATAATAGGGTCTAGGGTTTAGGGTTTTGACTTTTGGGGATCCCATCGGTGAAGAAGGAGGCGGTTCCAGCCCGAGCCGAACCCCGCTCGGTAGCGAACAACTTCAAAACCCTAAACCCCTTTGTTTGCATCGGGTACACTTCGGTTCAGCTTCAAGGAAAACGAAGCGGATCCGAAAAGAAGCATATGTTCAGGCTTCAGGCTTGCGGGTCATCTATCGACCACTAGGCAGCTGGTGCTCATGAATCCCGACGATGCCTCACGAGAAGGCATCGGGTTTTTCAGCCTGTAAGTTGAAAGTAGGGTTCGGGTTTCAGGGTGCGGAGGCTTGTGTCCAGATGGGCTCAGGTTTTATCAAAGCCCCCCACCAGCGCTGCCTGGTTCGGCAAGGAAGGCCACGACGGTGCTCACAGGAAGGCGAAACCTTGTCTCTGCAGCAGGATGGAGAGTGCCGGAGACCTAAAAAGCTAAGGTCGACAACATGGCAGTGCCACAAAAGGCAGGGCTCCCTTCGTCTCTGTTGAACTGACGCGTTCCATCTCAGATCGCCCATGCTGGTCGAAGTCAACTCCAGCATGGAAAAACGCGTGTTGTGAGCTCCAACTCGAGTCTGTCGCGAAGTCTGAAGCCAGCAAACCAACTTGAAGACCGAAGAATCCGCAGAGCTCTGCTTGTCCGTTAACTAAGCTACTAGGAGGTCCATCAAAAACAAAAAACCTGCGGCATATGAGGAGTCCTCTCTCTCCCTCTGCACATACAAACATGCATACATGCGTGCGTGCATGCATGCATACATGCATGCATGCATACACCTATGCAAACGGGATCTCAGGGGCTCAGAACCTGCAGCTCTGGAGACGTCGAGGCGCCAGGTGGCGATCGTGTCGGTAGCCACGCCATCTTTGCCTGGTGGGTTGTTGCGAATTCTTCGGCTTGAGGGTGTAACTGAATACTGTAATGTGGGGGGCTACATATTTCATTACCAATACCGTTTTGGGGGTTCCTTATGATAGTTATAGTAGGATGGCCCCAAAGCCCTATTCTGATTAAATATTCAGGCCCCTATATGGGGATTTCCGAAAATAGGGAACCGTAATATAGTACCCTAAATAGTAGGATCCTTATTATAAGGACCCCCAAATAAGGTACCCCTTATTCTCGGAAACTCCCATATTAAGGGTTGAAGGATGCGGTTCAGGAAGGATGTCGAGTCGAAGGTTACGTAGAGCTCAGGGGGTCTACCTTAAGAGCCCCAAACCCACTTTTTTGTAGGTTCGCATTATAAACCCAAATATTGGATTTGTAGGGACCCTACAAAAAAGTAGGTTTGGGGTTTCTTAAGGTAGGGCTGAAGGCTTAGGGCTTCGGGCTCCCCAGACCTCGAAACCTCAAAATTCATGCAGGGAAACACGCAATGTGGGGGCCTTAATAATTAGAATAGGGTTTTGAGGGTTCCTTATTATAACTTAACTATAGTATAATATACCCCCAAACCTTATTCTGATTATTAAGGCCCCTATCTCAAACCCTGATAATACCCTTTATAGTAACCCTTGTAAAAGGAACCCTTAAAGGAACCCTATTCTAATTATTAAGGCCCCTATGGCATTTCAAGCAGGCGGCTCATTCTGCGGATGGCCTGCTCCCCCAGGTCTTGACCTCCCGGCTTGGGATCCAGGTTTGCCCTTCGGGTTTCGGTGTAGGGGCCTTGATCATTAGAATAGGGTTTGGGGCTTCTTTATGGTACCATGATAATAAGGAACCCTAACAATAAAAATCTTTATTTATTATTTCAGATGGTGCAAAGCCCTTCGAGAACAATCAAATAGGTAATTATCCAGCCTTCTACATTAATTCCTGGCTTTGGGCTTCAAGTGCTGCTGTCCGGACTTCATGGCTTATGGGGGCCCTCCACCTGTCTGTAAGCCTAAACCCTAAACCCTAAACCCTAAACCCTAAACCCTACACCTCGCGGCTGATGCTGGGAGGCCCCGGTCCTCTCGGGACGAAGCTCAACATGCTTTACCTTAAGAACCCAAAACCTACTTTTTTGTAGGGTCCCTATAAATCCCATATTAGGGTTTATAATAAGAACCTACAAAAAAGTAGGTTTGGGGTTCTTAAGGTAGGGTTTTCACACTCGGGCGGTTTAGGGGTTAGGGTTCAGGGCTGGCTTGGGGGTTGGAGCGTTATATTTAAAGCGCTTCGGAAGCACCACAAACAAGTGAGCCTGCAACCCTAAGACACCTCCCAAAAAAAACACTGGAGTTTTGGTGCCTGGCCGCTTGCGTTTCCGCGTGCTTGACGCCGCAGACGAACGGACCTCTGGAGTGGATACTGATGGTGATTTGGACCCTAAACTCAGACCGCACCCTAAGCCCCAAATTCTGACCGTTTTGTACAGCCTGAGGCAACTCAAGTGCCGGTGAATTTCTACTCAACGAAATTATCCTCAAGGGCTTGGTGTTTAGTCTTGAACTTGGGTTTGGGCAGGTCGCCTAGAAGACTTGGTGCCTCAGGTGCCCCCGCGGAAACATCTTCGTAACAGATCCGCAGACCTTCCCTGGTATAGGGAGATCTAGAACGTCGGGGTTTTAATAAATTACATCATGGTTTTGGGGGTAGACTGTAGCTCCAGCTTCTAGGACGACAAAATGATATCATTTCTAAGCATTCCGACCTCCGTTGTTGTGGTTGTGGTCGTCTCACTGGTGACTTGAGATTGCAGCTTCCCTCGGAACTTTTATTCAAGGAATGGGTACGCCTTACGGCTGCAATCGGAAATACAACCAACATCTTCAAGACAGCGGCACCTGAGGTTGCCTTTCCCAGCGTCTTCGCCCAAAACCTTGACTTCATGAAAACCTTGGAAGTGAAATGCTACCTGTGGACAGAAGTGAGAAAAGCAAGTGTCGTGCGCTGATTGGGTACATTCCAAACATACAAATACCCCAACATCAATACGTACATACGTACATGCATCCAAACATACTTAGTACGTACATGTGTGCATCCATACAACAGACACACAGACGCACATACGTACATACCTACTTACACGCAGCCATGCATGTATGCATACATACATACACACAAGCATGCATGCATAAACACATACATACCCGCATACATAAAAACATGCATGCATGCATGCATGCATGCATGATGGGAACATACATATACATATACATATACGTACATACATACATACATACATACATACATACATACATACATGTACACATATATCTATCTACGTATCTGTTGGTGTATGCATGCATGTGTGTCCCTGCGTATGTAGGTATGTATGTATACATATGCACCACATGCATACGTAAATTACAGAAAGGATGCCTGCCACTAACTTCCACTGCAAGTACGGCACCAGGACTGACCTTGCCTCGACTGCTTCTGCATCGACTCGCTCTGCCTCGACTGGCTCCGCGAGTGTCTGCGACTTTATCAGGGGCTGCTGCGACTGCGATATGTCCTGCCACACCCGACACGCTCATGTGGCACTTAACGTCAAGCTCCAAGCCCTGAATGCGAATCGCGTTTGGTCCTCCTTCTTCACCTTCTCCTCCTTGATCTCAATGAATTCACGCTTGACTTCCTGCCCCGATGGCCCTATGCATTTTCAAGCTATACGTATAAGGGGTCTGGAAGGGCTTTAAGCCGTCACAGGGTTTGATAAAGGTTGGTTGAGGCTGCTAGAAGTGTTCTTCTTGTGTTTTACCAGAGCTCTTCCCAGACAGGTTCGCGCAGGTTTCAGAAAAAAAGCAGCGTGGGTTCAGGCCAAGCCCGGCCAACAGCCTCTCCCGGGTGACAGCCCGGTCTCCGTTAACCCATTGGGTTTAGGGTTTAGGGCATCTTCAAAGACTCTACCCCTCAAGTCCTGCACCCTAGACCACGAAATCCAAAACCCTAAACCACTAGGCAAGCTACCCAAGACCATCCATCCGAAACCCCAAACCGTAGCCCTAAAACCAAACCCGCAAACCCGTAAACTCTCGAAACCCCACCAACCTTCCGACAACCACTGTACCCTGAACTCTAAACTTCTGCGTGAGCAGAACCTAGGGGCTAAGTACCCTTGCCCAAAAAAAGGATGCCCTTTTGATTCTAGTAGGATTACATGAGCCCCAAAAGGTTAAAGGGTCACCTACTCAGGCCCCTAAACCCTAAACCCTAAACCCTACTCAGGCCCCTAAGGAACACCGCTCAGCGACCCAAAACCCGAAACTGAGAGCCTCATGGTGGCCAGGCTGTTCGGAGCTGGACAACCCGATTTAGGGTTTCGGGTTTAGGGTTTAGGGTTTAGGGTTTAGGGTTTAGGGCGACTGCTGGCATTCGTTGTCCTGTCGGGCTTTGGGTTTAGAAGTTCAGCTGTGAACTAAATACAACTTCAGATAAGATCAATCTAATCTGCTAAAGTATCGTAGAATGTGACATTATCAGATATGTAAAGTTCTTGCATGTAGCTGTAGCAGGCCTTTCTACTCCAGTTCCTGCCGGACGTTCCATCTGAAGCGGGGTGGCCAACGCCACAAAGGCTCTAAGGTATCTACGAATGTCTTAGTTTGCAGTCCTACTGCTTTCTTCCACCTGAGAAGCTACAAAGGTTCATGCGCGAACTGCACGCACGATGGGCCTGCGCATCAAGCACTGCGGCTGAGCAAAGATGCTGTGAGCGATATAGAGGACCATGCAAGGCTAATCCCAGATCGCTCCGCAAGCATGAAGTCGTTACACTTCCCCTAGCTGAGACAACACTTGACCCCGAATGAGGGACTCTCAAATACCTATGAAACAAGCTTTAGGATGCCGCAGCGTTGCGGGAGCTCACAGCGATGGAAAGAGTCCACGTGCTTTGTCAAGAGGTGTTTGCGGACGATCACAGGCAACAAAGAAAACCACAGCAATGCTCTACTTCCTTGGCGAGAAGAACCGGGTCAATGTAGTTTCGCGCTTTTGTCTCCTTTACTTTCTTCTAGCGTTCTTGACATTGCACTTTGGCACAAGGCTTAAAACCAGCGCAGCTGCAGTCTCGAAGATGCGACTGCGCACCATTGGCTTTTTGAACACCGAACAGGCCGCTCAATCGATAATGGCAAGAGGGGCACAGGAATCTTCAAACCTCACACAAGTTTACTTCAAGCAGTTCACCCGTGCTTGCAGAAGCTATGTCAAACACACATCTTCCGAGCACAGCACATCTTCAAGTTGCTTTGCCTAGCGGGCCCTCATGGCACAGGTGGCCAGAGTCGAGCCCAGGCATTGAAAAGGACTGTCATGTAGTTGCCGTCTTCCCCCTTGCACCTTGTATCCTGCAATCTGAACTCGAGCACTGGGAGCTTCAAGCTACAGAAGAGATGAAGGCTCAGTTTCAATTTCAAACGAGCCAGAAGGGGTTTGAGAGATCCACTGCCATCTTCACGTTGTCGAGGTGGCTGGAGATGTAGAAGTCGCAGGCTGTGATCGCATCGAAGACCTTGCAACATCTCAGGCTTATGATCATAGAGTAGTTCGTATGGTTATACTAATTGCATGTTACTTGCATTTGTGTGCTGCTTCTGTTCTTCGGGGGGCTTCAAGTTGAGGGTTCAGGGTTTAGGGTACCTGGGCTGTGCTTCAAGTTGAGGGTTTCAGGGAATGGTCTAGTACTCGTCGTTCTTACACTCTTCGTGCTGACAAGACCAAGGGCCTGCAAGCCAAGTGGCAGGAAGGCCAGTTGCATGCCGCACGGCATCGGAATACGGTGGAAGCTCAGTGCATTCCATCAGGAAAGCTCTGACCTTGCGCACACTCTCGGATGCAAACATCTACGTTCTTGAAGGGTTCTCTCTATGTTGCAATTAAGTGGTACATATATATATATATATATGTACATATATATATATATATGTATGTATGCATGTATGTATGCATGTATGTATAAATATATTTGTATTTATGTTAATTCACTTACTTATTTATTTATTTATTTGATCTGCTTCTGTAGTTATGAATGTTATGCATACATGTGTGTAGAACTCTAAGGCCCTAAACGATAAGAAGGAATGATATTACAGGCTATTCAGGCCACCAAATGCTGCAGCAGCAAGCAAAATTCTGTTAGCGAGCAAGGATACGTACTGCTGCACTGGGTCAGCCCCGAAACCAGGCGAAAGCGCAAGTCCCGCCATCACATCCAGTCTTCTGACACACTATGAGAGTTTCAGAAACACCAAAAAAAGCACTCTTACGTACATGGTCCCCTAGCCAAGTGCCCGTAACAGTTTCAATGAACAGCAGTCTCTAAGGCAGTGTCCTTCGGATGATCTCGGAGAACGTCCTGTGCTTTCTTCACCATCCCCGGCGTCACTTTGCGCACGTCTACCTGGCTTCTTGCCAGCCCAGGGTTTTGGGGTTAGAGCTTACAAGGTTTCGCGCTCAGAGCTTACGCCTGAAAGGGTTCAAGACTTAGTGCTTAGGGGCTTATGGCTTATGGTTTCCATTCCAGGGTCGGGGATAGGATTCCCGAAACCCCATACGACGTCCCGCATAAAGTCCTCATTATCTCCAGAGGATACATGGAAATACCTGTTGCAGCGCTGTAAGAATCATGGTATATTCCAAAGGAAGGGATTGTCGAGTTGACACCCGCAAACATTCACCGGACCCTGTTAAAATAAACACTCCTGAAACCGTTCATTGTACAAACCCTTTCGACTAAACCTTTAAACAAACTCCTGAAAAGCCCTAAACACTAAACCCTTATGACTTATAACCTTTAAGCAAGCCTCCTCCAAACCCCCGAAGAAGAAGCCCAGGAAGGTCGGACCAGCGCGCCTTTTCGCCCAAGGCCACCGCCTCAAATCCAGGGATGTCTTCGCAGCCCACGAAGATGTAGCGCTCGTCCTCTGGCTCATTTAGGGTTTAGGGTTCTTTTTTGTGAGGGTCTAGGGGTTTAGGGTTTAGGGTTTAGAGTTTAGGGTTTCCGTTGTAAGGATCTTTTAGGGGATTCCTCCATAAGGGTTCCAAAAAGTTCGTCTAGGGAATAGGCTTAAACGCAGACGTTTGCTTTAGGTGGTTTGGGGCTTGACGGCCTTTGTAGGCTTTGATGCGAGCTATCTGTTGTAAGTTCCTCAACCCTAAAACCCTAAAACGTCTTTCAAGGTTCTCGCTCATCTTCCCTAAACCCTAAACCCTAAACCCTAAGCCCAAACCCCGTTTAGGGCATCTCCAGCCACAGAACTACGACTGCACCCAAACCCGGAACACCCGCTAGTCAGGAGAAACCCGGCACTAAAGTCAAGCGCAGGCGCAATATAGGAATATAGGGGCCTTAACAGTCAGAATAAGGTTTCTGGGGTAGATCATAACAGTCAGAATAGGGTTTTGGGGGTATATCAGACCATCCTTATAATGAGGAACCCCCCCCCAAA